TTTAGATACATTGAAAAATCAATTACTCCAACCTGTCAATTTAAACAAAATAATGAGTTAAATAAAAATGACCCATGTGACTTACTAATAAACATTTTAAAACAAGCAAAGATAGGGCATAGGGCATAGATCATTAAACAGCATAAAATGAAGTTACTTCCTCTGTCCATTATCCAACATCTGCCAAAAGCCTAAACCAACAACAGTTATCCATGGCTAATCAGATAAGAACTACATTTCTAAAGGCTGAACATGATGGGTAACAAGGTTCACAAACTTCTGCTGCCAAATGATAAGCTGTCAAATTAGAAATCTCTACTTTCCCAGTTATTAACCCCTTGGTGAGAACACGAGTATTCAAGTTAGTTTAGTGGTTCCCTGCTAGTTGGAACAGGGAATTGATTTTAATATACTCTCAAGACTGACGGATTCATATGATACATAGTTACTTATAAGGATACTATATTCACCAAAACAGCTGTAGCTTAATGAAGCAGTTTTTGTGTAGAGATCATGACTGAAGTATCACTGCTCAGTTATCTGCCATTTAGGAGTTAAATCACTTTAGCCATTAACAGAGTGGGAGATAAGAAATCCTAAATTAAACATAATTTGCAATAACGTGTAAACATTAGATGACTCTTTACAGGAAGTGTTTAGGAAGGCTGTGTAATACACATACAGGAAGGTGTGACTAGTGCTACATAAACAAAGTGATTTAACTCCTAAATGTTACTGAATTGAGCAGTGAGACTACAGGGACATGACCTATACACCAAAACTGCTTCAATCAAGCTAGGTATCCACAGAGGAAAACTGTGATCAACTGATGTTATTGGAAGTCTTATAGAAGTGATGTATGCCAAGGAAATAAAGCATATTTGTAAACCTTAAATTTCAAACATAGCAAGTAATGTATTTATTTCCAGAGATCCAAATGCTACCTTTAGGTTTAGAATTGCGTGTGCACACAAACCTGTGAGTCCAGGTCCTCTCCTTTCATACAGAAATTAGCATCAATCACATTGAGCCCAACCAGTAGTCCAGAAATAATGGCACCTTCCTCCTCCATCATTAGTGCATTTGGTTCATAAAATTCACTGAAACAGAAACAAAACACAGGACACACTGTAAGGCTTGCTCTTGGAGTGGTTTGGTTATTATGTAAAGCGGTTTGATTCCTGTACTACAGCAATCTACTTTTTTCATGATGCTCAGTCAACTGGGGGGCAAAGTTAGCCATCACGGTTAGATTGTTCTGTACTGCTCAGGTTAACATTTTGCATGCCAAAGAAGTGAATAAAAAACTGTGAATACTTGGACAGTAACAAAGGAATACTCCGAGCACTGCAGGGCTTGGCTCAGGACACCTAATGTAAGGTTCTGAATCTGGCTCGCTGGGGTTAGTAATGAAGGTGAGCAACGCTGTCTGACTGACCCTACATAAGAGGCTAAGCTGTTAAAAATGGTATGACTACTTACAATGGGTGGGGGGGTCATCCCGGGGCAGTGCTGCACAGCATCTCTATGCTGAATTTTAACCCATAGAGATGCATTGATTCAAAGCAGCTCTATGAGGAGATGCTGATTGGCCAGGCCGCCCATACCCCCTTGACTATCTCAGCCAATCCAATGCTTTCCCTATGGGAAATCATCAATTCTGATGTCAGTTAATAGGTGGATGATGTCAGTTAATAGGTGGCAAGCCAATGCAGACAGACCTAAGCCACCTAAATGTTGGTTTTAAAACTATAAGGTCAGGAATACATGTTTGTTTTCCTGTCCCTATAGTATTCATTCAAGGTCAAAATAGCAGAATTTGAAAAATTCTATAATTCTGCTATACTTTCAGTTCAGCTACACTGGACTTAACTTTAAAATTCACTTTGAATTCTCACTTTAGTGAAGTCACGAATGAACAACTATTTTCATGTATAATTCTGTGCAAACCTCGTAAAAAAGTATTTACTTCCACGTGCAGAATTACATTGTTGCTCTATGGATGAGTGGGTATGCTGAAATGGATCTGCTGGGATTTTTATTTCATAGTGGTTACATGTGCTTAACATGTGACAGTTCTGCTTTACGTTAGATTAGTGTTTAATGGTTATAACATGATGGAAAACAATTTCAAACACAGTCAAATTTTGTAGTCATAGAGGGAAGGGAACTAGGAGAGTCAATGGAAAAGTATGCTTAAAGGACCACCCTAGGCACCCAGACCACTTCAGCTTAATGAAGTGGTCTGGGTGCCAGGTCCTTCTAGGGTTAACCCATTTTTTTTTATAAACATAGCAGTTTCAGAGAAACTGCTATGTTTATGAATGGGTTAAGCCTTCCCCCCTAATCCTCTAGTGGCTGTCTCATTGACAGCCACTAGAAATTATCTCACTGTGATTTTCACAGTGAGAGCGCTCAGCGTCCATAGAAAGCATTGTAAATGCTTTCCTATGCGACGGGCTGAATCGCACGCAGCTCTTGCCGCGCGTGCGCATTCAGCCCAGGAGGAGGAACGGAGGAGGAGAGCTCCCCGCCCAGCGCTGGAAAAAGGTAAGTTTTAACCCCTTTCCCCTTTCCAGAGCCGGGCGGGAGCACCCTCAGGGCACTATAATGCCAGGAAAACGAGTATGTTTTCCTGGCACTATAGTGGTCCTTTAATGGAAAAGAACACACACACAAAAAAACCCCAAACAAAAACAAGCTTTCAATCAACGTTACCCTCATTAAAAGACGTGTCTATCTTAAAATGACAGTAATACTTTAATTACTTACATTGCACATATCACACAATGGCATTAACTATTTTACTTAAAACATGTGGTTTTATGGATTTTACTTTGACTTTACAGGCTTGAAAACATGGAGCGTGGGACATGCTGTACTTTGTAGAATATACAAACATACAGGATTTTCAATAATTCAATGTGCTACATAGCCAGGAGTATCCCAGGTGGAGAAACTAATCCACATAGCAATTTGCACAGTCAGCTTTGATTGCAGGAGGTGACACAATTAATAAATAACCTTACAGGGGGTATATGCGGAAAATTGCCCAGGAAGGCCAAGTCGCAATTTCTATATGCAATGTCACTTTCAGACACCATTAAAAAATAAAATAAATTTATAAAATGAAAGGCAGTTTGAAATGGAGTACTTGCCATGCTGAGGCTGCCCATTTCACTATACACCCTACCATGGTAGGTAATGAGGTGACATGGGCGTCCACAGTGTGCGCGCACACACACACATACACGTGTATAAAATAAAGTGTTTTCATATACAGAACACCAAGGAAATAAGGAGAAAACAATCCCATTAGAAATATAACCTTTTGTGAAACTTATCTTGTGTTAATTAAGTTTATGTTCATTTGGCTTTAAAGTAAACATGTTATGAAAAAGGAAAAGGAACTTGCCAGAAATCACAAAGATCTATGGTGTATTCAATGTAAAATAGAAAGATTTGACTTTTCCTTCATTCCAGAGCCGCTTTGAAAGTAGCTCTTTGTGTAAAATCCACCTCTTGCCAATCCTCTGTTCTGCCTGCACTCTTCTTTTAGTTGCCCTGCTTGGGACACATCCTCAAGCAGGGCAAATCTAGTCAGTGACGTTATCTGCTGGCATCGGAACGGAGTGACAACACATCACTCTGTTCCTATACTCCCTATGCAGAGGTGGAAGCGCCAGCTAGGGGGTTTCCATAGCAAACCACAGATCATGCGCTGTGGTTGCTATGGGAGGAGAGCAGAGGGACCTCCTGTGGGAGGTCTTTTCTGCTCTCCTTGGTCAGTCATTGCCTCAACACGCCAAGCCATTAACGGACAGCTCTGAGAATTTTTTTTCCCCTCATCTATACATTTGCCAACAAAACCGCTAGTAGAATGTATAGATAAAGTTGCATGGTCAATCTAACGAGCATAAATTTGTTTGGGACATGACAGGTGCCCTTTAAAGTCTAAAAAATCTGAATTCAATTTTCACATAATACACATCCTCAGGCCCCAGCTGCTTCTTCTACTCATTGATAGTATGAGACTCTGGGGGATTTTGGTCGCACATGCTACTTGATTGCTAATCAATATGTGGGGACATTTGCTTTCATGACTGACACATATCGAGCACAGAAATAAAGAAAACACAGCTGCATGCACCTGCTGTCTCCGCTTAACCCAGGGCTATTTTATAGCAGCAGAACCAAATACTGCACTTGTGGACAAAAGCAAGTCACCCCCAGATTCACCTAAGTCACATAATGAGTTGACCAACTTATAATGAGTCACATAAACAGATGCTGTGCAGTCAGTGAATAATAAAAGAGCTATTTAAAGAGAGTGCCATCTATTTCCATTTCAAAATATTATCCTACACTTTTTTTTATGCATTTTCAATGAGTAGCCCGATTTATGAAGAACAAGAATAAGCCAATTCACTCAATTACTAGAAACACCTTTACCATTCTTAGTAACTATCAAAATTTTTTTTTTTTTTAGTGCCAGACCAACAATTTGCAAGGTTCTGGGCGACAATTTTTTGGGACCCCTCTCATCTACGCAAACACAAACTTAGCTAGCTAATTAGAAACAAAGTAATACAGCATGAATAACACAAATACCAACCGAACAAGGAACAAAATCGTACACTAAAATATATAAATATATGGAAGCCATAGACACACCGTAGCACACAGATGCAAGCACACACAACAAAAAGTAGCAGATGTCCAGAACGTCCCTATAAAATAGGAAAGTGAACAAAAACCCTAAAGTAAGTATAATTAAAATACAGATTATTAATTGTAAAAAAAAATATAAAAAAAAAGAAACATCTAAAATCAATCAACTAAGGGTACATCCTTCTTTGACGGAAAATTTTAAAAAAAAAAATATATATATATATATATATATATATATATATATATCTCTCAAGGGGGAGTTGGCTGCACTCACCTGAACATGCATAAATGGGGGTGCTGCTGGGGGCCAAATAATACAATACACAAGATCCAGCGCACTCACCTATCCACTAAACAGCAACTTCAGTGTTGAAAGATTTAGTTTTTTTAAAAACACCTAATCTAGGCAAAACCTCCCCCATTATTTTTGTCTAGATTATGTGTTTTTAAAAAAACAAATAAAATCTTTCAACATTGAAGTTGCTGTTTAGTGGATAGGTGAGTGCGCTGGATCTTGTGAGATATATCACTCACACACACACACACACACACACCCCAACAAAATAGAAAATTGATCCATTTCTACTCCCAAGGGATTATATTCACTTGTTCTACTCCTGGTCCATTAGCTTGGATCCTTGTGTATTAGTGCTGAATATAGCCATCTCATGGCATACAAACTGACCAGTGCGAGCCTGGATGATTCAGTGTACCAGCATCGTCAGAGTCAGCCTGGCAGGGTTTCTACAAAAAAACGATCTACTCAATCAACGGTTTTGGCTAGTAGATGAAATCATGGATTCACAGATTTTGTGCAAAATAAAATAAAAATGGTATTTACTGCACTTTTAAACTAAACATAAAAATAATATATAGTTTGTCAAGAAGAACAAGAGCTTTGTGGTAAATTACTTGAGTAGGTCTTTTCGGTTAATCAGGGCTTTCATGTATTCTGAAAGCTTCTTCTGCATTAGTGCTAGACGGAGCCAGGCCCGGCCTCTACCCACTGGTGTCCTGTTATATGAAAAAAAAATGCAGAAAAACGATTAGAGCAAAAAAATAAGCATGGCATTGTGACAGGAATATTGCAAAGTACTGTACATGGTTTTTTTTTAAAGTTTTTTTTTTTTAAATCCTGAAAGCCTATCAGGATCATCAATCCAACAGACGTGAGGTGGTTATTTAAATTGGGCTCCTTTATATATTTGTAAATTTCCTGGGTAGAAGGAGACAAACTAAAACAACAACTTACATACGGAACTTTAAGATCATGGCAAACAAAGGACAAAAATGTGGGAAGTGTTTTTTTTTTTTTTTGTTTGTTTTTTTAACAAACTACTTGTTCACGACACTGTCACGGTCAGTAAAAATATAGCTTACCGGTATATTCCATATCGGTAGCTTTGTCACATATTAAATAATCAGTGCGATAGTTAATTATGGTAGTGATCATGCACTAACCTCCGCTCCAAATCTTCCCAGTTTGGAATTTTTATTCAGGATTATTTTGATAATCAGATTTTAGATTGTTGACTAATGAATAAGCAAGTGTATACACTCATTCATTATCAGTAAATTATACAGTGCAAATTAATTTTGGACATACTAAAGGATATAAGGACAATATTTCATTCATCAGAGCTAAACCAATACATTTTAGAGCCTTATGTGCAATTTTAGAATCCCATCTACAATGTATTTTATTTATAATTCACACTGCTATATGTCCTTACTGTTTAGTGCAAATATCGTATTTATGTTTAGGTTTCTAAGACTTGATGGATAAAATAAATTCAATAGGTAAAAAGTCCAACTTAAGTGTCCTTGCGAATAGTCTTTATAACAAAAAGTGCAGTGGTGAAGTCTTCATAAACTGTATTGGTTCCACTTATATAGTAGACAAAAAAGAGAGAAAGGGACGACCAATACTGTAGTATTGTATAATTCCAATGGTGACGTATTAAGAAATAATAGATAAGAACTCACATTTGATAGAGCTTATGTCCAGTTCTATTGTAAAAGCGCATACAGTCGGTCTGCTCCTCATTTGTAAGTACGTTTTTATCTATTTACATTAAGACTACTAAACAGTGAGCACTATCGTCTGTCTCTTCTTTTCCTTATTTGAGAGTTGGACACCACTGACGGAGAGATACCCACGACATATCTTACAAGCGGGGATCATACCGCTGTATGCGCTTTTACCCTAGAGCTGGACATAAGCTCTATCAAATGTGAGTTCTCATCTATTATTTCTTAATACGTCACCATTGGAATTATACAATACTACACTATTGGTCGTCCCTCTCTCTCTTTTTTGTCTTCTATATAAGTTGAACCAATACAGTTTATGACGATTTCACCACTGCACTTTTTGTTATAAAGACTATTCGCAAGGACACTTAAGTTGGACTTTTTACCTATTGAATTTATTTTATCCTTCTTGTGGCGCAGCCTTTTTACTGTTGTTTTACCTGTCTTGTTTTAAAAGGGTTTGGAGGGTTTCCCTTTTTAAAGTTGCTGCCTGACAGTTAATTAGCGCTGTCTCTCTTTTTATATTATTTTTTATTTAAGACTTGATAGTTGTGATGGAGTAAGGAAGATGTGTGAAACAATGTTGGTTCAATGGAAATACAATCTGTTTGACTGCAAGTTATGGTTTAAATTACAACTTCGAGATGAATATGCCTGGGCTTTTCATAACTATATACTGTGGAATGTCCATGAATCCACATACTCCCACTATGTATGTGGCATCCCGCATGAGGTTTTGTAGGTGGCTGAACCCATTGTAGCAGTGTAGCTTTAAGTTTCATTATCGCAAACTGAATAACATTTTATCAAAATATCTGCCACCATCAAGACTATCTCACCGCTATCTAGGGCTGGGCAGTTAGAATAATCTAGCATTCCATACATCAATGTAATTTTTTTTTTTTTTTTAAATAAACCCCCCCCCCTCTTATTAGTATTCCAGAACAGTGACATGCTTTTAATCCCATCACACCTAAAAGTTACCTGGTGACTAGCTTAGAACCAACACCAAAATTGTACAACAAAAACAAAAATGACGGTATCGGTGTAAAAGAGAGCTTTTTGGAGCAGACACATTGCTACGTAAAGGAATCTACACTGCCTATACAACAAAGAAAAACTGAAATAACTGTTTAGTAGATACACTACCCACAAATGCATTTACATGCATGTATTAATTGGTGATAAATTGTAAACAGTTTGCAAAAGCTGCGGTTCTTATGAACTAAAGCCTTTGCAAGCCCTTCCCCTTTTCCCTGGAAGAGACAGTGTGTGTGCGTGCGCACAAGCAGGATACAGGACGCTGGTCTGAGGTATGCAGGGGTAGAGTGTGCCTGCCACTTTCATTAGTTCAGGGAAGCCAATGGACGCAGGAAGAAAACCACCTTGGCTGTTTGAATGACATCCATGGGGGTTATTCATGATTTATAAAAGTGCTGATTTCTAAAAGAAAACAACACTTTTATAAACGGTCATTATTACGGGATACTCCAAACCCATAAAACACTTTAGCACGCTGAAGCGCATTATGGGTCTTGAGTGGTCCTTTAAAGGTCACAAACACAATTCCGCTTAATGAAGCAGTTTTGATGTATAGATTATGCTTCTGAAGTGTTCCTGCTAAATTCGCTGCCATTTAGGAGTTAAATCACTTTTGTTTCTGTTTACGCAGGAGGGGCTCCTCCAGGGTCTAGCAAGCTTTTAGCTGAGTAGTTAAGAAATTCAAAATTAAACAGAATTTGCAATAAAGGAAGTGCAAACATTAGATGACTTTTTAAATAAAGTATTTAGGAAGGCTCTGTAAGTCACATGCAGGAATGTGTGCCAAGGGCTCCATAAACATAGTGATTTAACTATTAAATGGCAGAGAATTGAGCAGCGAGACTGCAGGGACATGAAATTTACACCAAAACTGCTTCATTAAGCTAAAGTTGTTTTGGTGACTGTAGTGTCCCTTTAAATGCTCATGAAAAATGAGAAAAAAAACACACCAAACAAAAAAAGCAATTCTGCCATTTTACACAAGATACCCAATGAGATTTTCCGACACATGCAGTCTCTGCATATGACTTAACAGAGAAAAGAAAGTAAACAACAAAGCAGCACACTGAAATAATATTTACATTTACACCATCACTCACTTGAGCCCAGGCAAGTCTTTCACACTAGCTGTTATCTCTGAGGCTTCGGGTACGAGCTTCTCCACCAATTCCAGAGGGCCCCAGAATGACTTATTCTGCCCAAGGAAAGTCTTCTTTGCTAAGCAACGCATAAAGTAACAAAAATAAAATTTAAATAAAAGACTGTATTGTAAAGATTTGCCGTTGCAAGCAAGTAGAACAACTATGAAACTCAAGACACTAGTGTACTTATTAAATTAAAATAAAGAGATAAATTACTGCTTTTTGAGCAGAGCAGCGATTTATTAATCAGATAGTGAGTGGTTAGTAAACTTCATATTAGTGTGAATATATTTGCAAACTAGAGCTCTTTCAGTCTGCTAGACCACTTTTTAATCATGTTATAGTGTATATACTTGCATGAGATAATTTTCACTATCGTTCACATTAGTGCAATCATAATCCAAAATCGTGAATTTTTGTCAGCCAAAGATCTAATGGAAATCAAGAGTAATTAATATTGCAACTTTTTCCCACTTGCAGCTCTACAATTTTTCCAAATATGGCTGCCTCTATGTAACAAGGAGTACTTCTGGGGCACAATGCTAAAGGTAGAGCAAGCACCATGGACTCCTTGGAAATCAATGGTATGTTCCTGCTGATTGGGCACTTTTAAGACCAGTGTCACAGCTGTGATCTTGCATATAATATCCAACAAGTCATCATCTTCACCACAACAAGATAGGCCTTACCTTTTAGTCCATGCTTCAGGCAGTGCTCCATCACCACAAAAAACTGCTGTAGAGGTGCATAGTCAGAATCGAGAGTCCGGCCCAGATTCAGAGCAGACTCAATCAAGCCCTTAATACTCAGCTTTGCCATGTTCATGAGATTCATTCGTTCGTTGGCCATTAGATAATTTGGATCTGAAAAAAGAAAAAACAATTGCGCAAAAGATGGTTAACTTGCAGGAAGGGGAAGTGCATGTGTACAATAAGTAAAATCTGAATAATATAAAGATAATATATTTTCATTCAGTGCCTTTAGCAAGCATCAATACAAAATATAGATCTATTGTACTTGATGAAACACAAAAGACTATACGTATGTATTGTTAATGGAAACCGATGCATCTCCAGAAATACTAATGTTCTCATGTAGACAGATTCCATAAAATATTAGTTTTGGTTCTACAATCCAAATAACACAAAGTACCAAAAAAGAAAAAGGAAAACAAAAGGATAAAACGACACAATTGTGTCAGCTACCAGTCCTGGAAATAAGCCAACAAACATTTACCTTTCCTGAGAATCTCTGCAAGTTCTAACCTCACACGTGAGGTGGACGTTCCAAGCACT